AGGGGAACGAGGAGTGACAGAAACATAAAACAACTCGGAGGTCCGCGCGGATTTCTCGGATCCGCGCTGGACCCCGCTGGCGGCGCCTCCGGCGCCGCTCCTGGCGCGCTCCGCGGCCGCCGCTCCTGGCGCGCTCCGCGCGCCAGGGAGGGGGGTCCAGCGCCGATCCGAGAAGTCCGCGCGGACCTCCGAGTTTTTATGTTTATGTCATTCTTCGTGCCCCTAAGAGGGGTGCGAGTAGATGGGGTCGGAGGATCTCGCCGCATCGCCGATACATCGCCGATGCATCGGCGACGTGGGCGGAGTCATCGGCGACGTCGGCGTGGAGAGAATCGGGCTCCGCATCGAGCCGCATCACCGATGCATCAGCGATGCGGCGCGATCCTCCGACGCCCATCTACTCCGATCCCATCTGGGAGGCCTAGAGCTGAAGCCCGATTGACTGGCAGTTCGGCCAGATTGGTTCCAGTCGAGCCCAGCACTCAGCGGGAATCTGCGGAATGCGACAGAAGCATGCCGGATTCGGCCAGATATCGACCACGGATCTACCAGCGCCGAGGCGGAACTTACTGGGGGACCGAGCTCTATACACCGACGCTTTTTTCGCCCTCAGGGCCCCGTAGACCCGGACACGCTAGACCCGGACACTCAACATCCCTCGAACCCAGATTTTCCAAGGAGAGGCGCCGACCCCATGGCCCAGAGGACGTGTCCCCGGAACGCACGCGCCAGATGATGCGGGGTGAACGGCAATGCATCGGCCCTGGGGCGGACATGTCCTTCAACACGGACAAGCCGCAAGCGATTCCTCGTAGAATGAGCGCTGTCGGGAGGCATATAGGTCCGAACACAATGTGCGAACGTACTTGTTGTGATACTGCATGGGCTCGGACTGCGGTGCGCAGTGCGGACGAAGGCCAACGCGGCACGGGCGATTCCACGGGGATCAATCCAACGGGGAAGTGTGCACCAGACCTCGGGGTGGCGCTCCCTACGAGCGCTCAGCGGCCGGACGACGTGCGCTGCGCAAGCGGAGGACACGACTGCGCAGGCTTTCATGGCCTCCCGCGGCAGACCCAGACCGACTGTTTTGAGCAACTGGATTTCGCAGCACTGGCGCGCGGATGGAGGACAGTAACATGATGTAAAAACCGTTATGGCAATTCCAACGGCCGTTGCGAGAAGCCCGCACTCGCCCCCACCACATCGGCCACGGTCGCGGGGCAGCCCTTGGCGGATGGACTCCCCTGGGGGGCGCAGCTGGGCTTGCCGAGCTAGCCCTCGCGAGAAAATGCTGACATCCCATGCCCTGGAGGCGATGCCAGATCCCGAGGAATGCAAGCAATGACAGGGGGGATAGTGGCAGAGCTGGGGTGGAGGAGTCTGCGCGCGCCTGCCCGCTCGCGCCCGTCACCCCGCTGGGCGACTCTGCCAGGACTGCCGAGAACGTGGGGGGTGTCCACGAATGAGGGCTGAGGCAAGATATCTCCCCCCACATGCTTCCCTTTGTGCAGCGGCCAT